TGATCTCTAGTTCCTCTCCCTCTTTGAAATCCTGCCTGTACTTCTGGTAGTTCTCGGTCCGCATACTGCTGGAGCCTAGCTTGTAGGATTTTGAGCACAACTTTGCTAGCATGTGAAATGAGTGCAATGGTGTGGTAGTTTGAACATTCTTTGGCATTGCCCTTCTTTGGGATCAGAATGTAAACTGACCTTTTCCAATCCTGTGGCCACTGTTGAGTTTCCAAATTTGCTGGCATATTGAGTGAAGCACTTTAACTGCATCATCTTTTAGGATTTTGAATAGCTCAGCTGGAATACCGTCACCTCCACTAGCTTTGTTGTTGTTCAGACTTCCTAAGGCCCATTTGACTTCACATTCCAGGATGTCTGGCTCGAGGTCAGTGACCACCCCATCGTGGTTATCAGGGATGTTAAGCTCTTTCTTGTATAGTTCTGTGTAATCTTGCCACCTCTTCTTAATCTCTTCTGCCTCTGTTAGGTCCCTGCCATTTTGGTCCTTTATCATGCCCATCTTTGCATGAAATGTTCCCTTCATATCTCCAATTTTCTTGAAGAGATCTCTGGTCCTCCCTATTCTATTGTTTTCTTCTATTTCTTTGTACTGTTCATTTAAGAAGGCATTCTTATCTCTTCTAGCTATTTTCTGGAATTCTGCATTCAGTTGGGTGTATCTTTCTCTTTCTCCCTTGCCTTTCGCTTCCCTTCTTTCCTCAGCTATTTGTAAAGCTTCCTCAGACAGCCATTTTGCTTTTTTGCATTTCTTTTTCTTTGGGATGGTTTTAGTTGCTGCCTCTTGTACAGTGTTGCGAACCTCCGTCCATAATTCTTCAGGCACTCTGTCTATCAGATCTAATTCCTTAAATCTATTTGTCACCTCTACCGTATATTCATCAGGGATATGATTTAGGTCATACCTGAGTGACCTAGTGCTTTTCCCTACTTTCTTCAACTTTGCAACCAGAAGCTCATGATCTGAGCCACAGTCAGCTCCTGGTCTAGTTTTTACTGACTGTATAGAGCAGGGGTCTCAAAATCGTGGCCCCCGGGCCAATTGCCAGGATGGGCGGGGCACGGGGGAGGGGCCTTGTGGCCTTCAAAGCGCCGGCGGCACCCGGGCCAGCCACGGGATGAGCGGCCCACTACCACTGCGGTGGTGGAATACTTGATGCAGCCCAGCCTCACCCAGACTCTACTTCCAGCGGCCCCCAGGTAAGTTGAGTTTAAGACCCCTGGTATAGAGCTTCTCCATCTTTGGCTGCAGAGCACATAGTCAGTCTGATTTCTGTGTTGACCGTCTGGTGATGTCCATGTGTAGAGTCGTCTCTTGGGTTGTTGGAAAGGAGTGTTTGCTATGACCATCATATTCTCTTGACAAAATTCTACCATCCTGTGCTTTGCTTCATTTTGTACTCCAAGGCCAAACTTGCCTGTTATTCCGGTTATCTTTTGGCTTCCTACTTTAGCATTCCAATCCCCCATGATGATAAGGACATCATTTTTGGGTGTTAATTCTAGAAGGTGTTGTAGGCCTTCATAGAGCCGGTCAACTTCAGCCTCTTCAGCACCAGTGGTTGGGGCATAGACTTGGACTATTGTGATGTTGAATGGTTTGCCTTGGATTCGAACTGAGATCATTCTGTCATTTTGGAGATTGTATCCCAGTACTGCTTTTCCTACTCTTTTATTGACGATGAAGGCTACTCCATTTCTTCTAAGGGATTCTTGCCTACAGTAGTATACCTGATGGTCATCTGAATCGAATTCACCCAATCCTGTCCATTTTAGTTCACTGATTCCTAAGATGTCAACGTTCAGTCTTGTCATCTCTTGTTTGACCACATCCAGCTTGCCTTGATTCATGGATCTTACATTCCAGGTTCCTATGGAGTATAGATCTTTGCAGCATCGGACTCTCCTTTCACCACCAGATACATCAGCAACTGAATGTCCTTTCGGCTTTGACCCAGTTGCTTCATTCTTTCTGGCGCTACTAGTACTAGTCCTCTGCTCTTCCCCTTTAGCATATTGGACACCTTCTGACCTGAGGGGCTCATCTTCCGGCGTCCTATATTTTTGCCTTTTGGTACTGTCATGGGGTTTTCATGGCAAAGATACTGGAGTGGGTTGCCATTTCCTTCTCCAGTGGATCACGTTTTGTCAGAGCTCTCTGCTATGACCTGTCCATCTTGGGTGGCCCTGCATGGCATAGCTCATAGCTTCATTGAGCTGCGCAAGCCCGTTCGCCACAACAAGGCAGTGATCCATGAAGGAGTCGTTGGATATTAGCTATTCTATATTAGGGGACTAGGAATGATGGCAGGCCATATATACATATTGTGAAAAGCACATAA